TGGTGGCAAAGTAAACTTTTCCAAATATTGCATTCTAATACTGCGAACGATGAGAAATCAAACAAGTTCGAAGAGGGAGGATGTCACATAGTGAAGCGTTGCGCTTAAGTCGGATATGTGAAATGAAAACTAAAAAAAGCATCAGAAAGGGGAAAAAATAAGTTGATAGACTAAAGGAACGTAGTTAACTTTCAGAAGGTAGAAATACTTCAGAAATAATCTGATGCGATCACTAAATTGTTTGGAGGTGTAGATTAAGCTTCACAGATCAAAAGAGAGATACAAAGATAAAAACAAGTAACATTCCTTATCAGGCATTGCTACAACTCATAATAATTTGTAATTATGACAAGATGTTTGATTTCATGTTTGCTTATCATTAAAAACTTATAATATTATATTTTAAGGTTCCTCGTATGCTGCTTTGGAGGATAGTCGTAAACGAAAAAGTATTTTTCAAACTCTTCCGATATACTTTCACTATGAAAATGATACAGTGTCATTGAAATATGAAAATATATTATCATAAGGATACATTCACATAGAATGGAACAGGTGTAGGATGGGAGCAACCTGAACAATCAAACCCAATTATGGACAGCATGCTTGACGTTTCTCACATCACCTCTAATTGAATAGGAAAGAGAACAATGAGAAGCTGGAAGAACAATTCAGCTTTTTCAGAATCAGATGATCAAGTTTGATTCGAGAAAAGTAAGAACCACAAAAACTTGAATGTACATTCTGAACTTAACATTTCCCTCATTCATGTTTGAAATTAATTTGCAAAAGAAACAAAGGACAATTTCGTAACTATTTAGAGAGTTTCATGTTAAGGGAATAATAATAATTAATATTCTCCTATATTGAGCAAACTGTTTATGAATTATGAGTTGAACGTACTTCATATATTTTACTAAAGTTCTTTCAATTTCGAAACTCATTAAACAGATCATTAGCGAGAGCGCATAAGTTTTGACAAAACTCAAAACCCTCGTGTTCCAAATGAGAAACGTATTGTGAAAACAGAGTTTTCAATATTATTATAATCATGATTAAGATAAGTGATTGTCATAGAAACTACCGTAATGAATAAATTAGTGTTGGAGATAGACTTTTCACTAGAAGAAACGGATGGAACGGACACCAGTTTCATGAAGTGTTAGGAGAATGAAAGATAGTTTGCGAGCTATCATCAAAACAGTCGTTCTTCAGAGAAAATAAATGAAGTTTCCGCTTTTTGTGAGCATTCCATCAAATGATTCAGGAGTTTTCTTACAAAACAGTCGCTCACATCTATCTCGCGTCAAGAAAACTAAATAGAAAAAGGACTAAGCGGCTGTCGCAAAAAGTTTTTGGGTGGTCCAACCAAACTTTACTTCTTTAAACTTTCAGCACCACTCTATTTCGTCTAGACAATGTTGTTCCGCAAATCAACTAGTATCTTGTGTAAGATAATGAAAGTTTTTCACAGGCTTTGACACTCACAGAATAAACAGAACAATACTATGCTCATATACTTTTAAGCCAAACAGAAGATTTCGTAACAAGTATTCACTAATTTAGTGACACTTATACGTTTCTTAGAAAACTCAAAATAGCTCAGGCATGTCCACCTCCGCACTCTACTCTCGTAAGTTAAAAGCCATCAAAGTCTATAACTTTTTTATAAAACAATATTTTTCTACGCTTATCTAGCCGCCCTCTAACTCGCATGAAAAACATTGTTTTCATCATAATTTATTTTCCATTGAAAATTCGATTATGGAATTAACTACGATCGGAAAGAACTTGAGAGCAGTGAGAATAAATAAGGATCTCAGCTTGACAATACATTAAACTTGGTTGACAGACAGGTTTACTGAAAGAAAAATAAAAGAACCTTATTCAAATGATCTATAGTGGAGAAAATGATAAACAACGGAACAATCTAACAAAGATCATGTTCGCATCATTTATGCAGGGAAGTGTTTGAACTCTTTCCTCAGCCATAGCATCAAATGGCTAAACTTTCACTAAAAGCAACCCCGGAGAGGTGTCACCTAATCGAATATGAAATGTTCTCAAATAGTTCAAAAAGGGAAACTGTGAACAAACAATTCCATGAACCCTAGAAAAAATCTGATCTTGTTAAACTTCAGTATAAGAGGAACGTTTGTCTGAATGGCTTGTTCACAGATATTCCTTGGAATAGTTAGACTAAGCAATCAAGGAAAGCCAGCTGCGTCTAATTCAACAATTTTCATACAAACGTGCGAACGGGTAAGGGATTCCTATCGAATAAGTAGCAAGGTGTATAGAGTAGTCAAATTGAAAACTTGGCGGAAAGAAGCTCAAAGCCTTATATAGACGAACATCTATTTATAAACAAAAACTTTGTTTGGCCGTCAGTTATTGAAAAAAGCTCAACAATCAAAACATACGGTGATGGTAAATATAACGCGTGTCCACTGCTAAACTATTCGGAAATTAATTCGATGAGATTAAGCTGATTAAATGAAATTACACTTGAGGAGATCATCTATTCACGGGCAACTTTCTTAATGAAAACAGCAACGTTAATTTAATGAAAAAGTATCAAAGATGGGGTTACGCGCAAATAGCTCGGTCGTTGATTGCAAATCCTGAGCAAATTCGATAACAGAACACTAGAACGATATTGACTATAAGGTTTTTCATTTGTCATATCATCGATAACATAATACAGTTCCGTAATTAGGAGCTTAGTTCAAAGTGCGCGAGACATACTGATCAAAAAGAATATCAACCTTTCCACAGTAAAAACATTTCTAACCGAGTGAAACGGGATAATATGTTTAAAAACTTCATAAACATGTATCAATTCCAGAAGATGTGCTCTCAGTAAGATTACCACCAGCGCAAAACGTATTCGTTGGTTATAACAGAAATGGGGAAAAAAGCAGCAAATTTTAATAAAAGTTCAGAGTCAGTCTTATGCGGCATCAAAAGAAATTTCCGCTCACACGTATAAACATCCCGGAGTTTAGTTGTCTAAAATAGCTCTTAGGAATGTTCGGAAATTCTTTTACGCGAACTTATATATCTGGACTAGATTGCTTCTACGCTAATCAAGTTATGCTTGTGGGAGGTGGCCATAGTGATAATTATACAACAGATTAAAACAATGGTCAATTATCTGTTCAATCAAGGAAAAAGCAACTTTGGTAAGCAAAACTATGTTAAAAACTTGAAAAATTAAATTAAAATATCATCTAGGCCGACAGCCAGATTGAATTATTCAATCTCACTGCGCTAGAAGAATTAGAATAAAACGGACCACAATGTAATTCATAGTTTAAAATGATTTTACGTTTACGTCCATTTGTATTATTTTCCGTAAAACCATAGAAGAACAAGATATTCATGGAAACTACAAACGAATGGAACTGAGGAATGGTTATACCTAAGAAACTTCAACACCAACATAAGTGAGACTAACGGAAGAATATTTTAAATTTCTACGATTCTCTGATATTGGTATAGAGTAAAGAAGAATGTTTGAAAGAAAAATGTAACTTTCGGCTTATTTAAATGGTTTGTTAGAAAGGCAAGTTAGTTATTTTGTAAGGAATCCTGTCTTCAACTACACACGAATCATGTTCTCATTAAACTGGGCATTCACGTTGCAGAAGCGTGGTTCAGGTGTTCCAGTGTTACGATCAGAGAGAACAACCACAAGCGGGAGCGCAAAGAACACAAGTTGGCATGGCGCAGTTGCTAAACAGGCTTTATACGCCATAACATCAAGAGTAACACGATAGAAAGAACAGAAAGTTTGAAACACAATGCTGATCTGTTCAGGCCATCAATTAACTGACCAGTTAACAGTTTGCAAAAGAAGCACGCTCCACATTTTTTTCTGATAGTGGGAACTATATGAAACAAATAATGACGTTGGTCAGGTACTGTAGTTATTAGTAAGAGAAGAAAACGAGACAATTAGTAATTGCGGGGCTGTGACACGTCTGCCTGGAACGTATTCGTTATATTTTCCATCACGAAAACTTTTTTATTCATGGAAAAAAAAATAGAATACGAAAATTCTTAAAGATTATAGAGAAAAACAAACTTCTCAAACCTTATGTGAATTTTGATTTTTGATAGCAAAGGAAACGATTTCTTGAAAAACAGAAAAGATGAATAGTGGCAATGTGCTCTCTCATACTTCATGAAATTAGTATAAGGTGTACGCAAACCTTATTAGTGTTGCAAAATCCGAAAAACATACAGCAGGTTATATGTGTATTTTCTTGATCTTGAGGTTTTGCACACAAAGTCTTGGAAAACTAATGCTGTTAGGGATTGTTTCAAAGCGCTCAATTGATGATGTAAACATAGTCGCGAAAAAAAAACAGGTCCCTAAACCAATTCACAGAAAATTTCCTTGCTATTCAATTCATTATACGAGAAGTTTCAACCAAGACGACTCGCGTGACCGTAATGTACAGTAAGCATGAAAGCAATATTACCAGCTTTCCGACACGACAGTTTTCAACCGCTCTCAATAACGTGGTTTAATAATTACTTAATTGCCATAACTTAGCTACATACGGAAAAAACATAAGAGTCCGGAAAAATAAGAACCAACTAACCTGAATATTGATAACAGCATTACGGCAGAGCACAGCATCTTGTCAACAACCGCATCCCGCGGGGGCGTATTCAAAAATGAAAAGACGCCAATGTTTTCGCGCAAAACCGTAGCTCAAATTGGTCCATGCTTGAGTTCAACTTTTGATTTTTCTGCTGTTCACGCAATATAGATATTATTCTTATTCGATATTTATTCTTAAATAGAACGCGAATGTAACAAAAATCTTCAAATTACGGATAATCAATTAGTTAAAATACCTGTGGCATTTTAAGTATCAAACGAACTGTTTTTAAAATTTCAAAACTGGGTTTCAATCGTCATTTCTAATATATTATTCTTTCAATTATCGAATGAGTGGAAAATGAAAATTATTTCTTGAAACTTTTCAGTCGGATCCAACATATTCATCAATGTCAGACAAACTTTCGCTACTACTTCCAGAGCTTAGTGTTCTTTGTCCAAATTGTTCAAAACTGCGAAGCTTTTTAGGGAGGTTTGCACGAATTCTCATATTTTCCTGCGAATAACATACGGAAAGTTCTATTTCACAGAAAGTTACCTTCTCTCGACGTTTCCTTTCCTCGAACAGTGCTATCTGCATGCGCATCTGTTCGTATCTGGTGTCTAACGTTGTGAGCGCCTCAGGTTGTGAGTTTGATTCAGCTAAAGCTTGCAGCATTCGTTTCTATAGAAGCATAAGATAGAAGTACGATAGAGACAAGCCTACCACATCACTTTCTATAGCTGGATTTACATAGAAAAGCTCATTGTGAACAGCATCCCAACTTTTCTTGCTGATATGAGTTTTCGATCGCGCATTGCCTTCCCGATGTTCAACAAAGACAAGGTTCCCCACTTTGAGAGTTGGGAGGTAAACACCACTAAAAAAAAAAGAAAGAGGATGTGAGCTCTGAAGCGTTTCACAAACCTACAACAGATTATGTTTCCTATATCTTCTCCACATTCATCAATTCCGTTGCCCATGCAGAGAGCTTTTCCTATTTTAAACATGGACTGATCCATATGACGTTCCTGTAAATCATGTGGTTCGCAATAGAGAAAAGAGAGTTGCTGCTTATTGATAGTTGATGCGAAAAGTTCTCATATAATAAGATCAAAACAAATCAGAGAAAGAACAATAGTAGAGAGAAGATGGATCGTCCAGGAACAAGAAAACTCCAATTAAAGAGAAAAAGGTAGCTAGAGAACAGCTGGTGAACGGTATATAGGAAAATCGTACGTTTTTTATTTCCTTGGGTACTATTCTCACGCGATCCCAAATTTCTTTATCGATAACTACGTGGTTATTGTTCATCAAACGAATTTCCAAACTTCTACAGATTAAATGCTCCCGAGGGCAACAGACGTCGTACCTGAAACAGCTGAATTACTTATCTATCTAGGTTCTTCAACGTTCGTTAACGAAGAATATGTATGATCTTCCAACTTTTCAGCGTTGGGCACAAATTGCAAAATGCAAAAAAAAAAGAAAAAATATGAAGTTAGGGACTTACTCTTTCATTGCTAACTTCTTCATATTTTCCATAAGTACCTCGAGATTCCGGGAACGAGCTTTGGCGTTGTTCTCCATTACATTCCGAACCTTAAAATACAACTTGTTGAGCGATAATCGAATCATAACGTACACATCTCTCGAGAGCTTTGGGCCCAGCCTTATTCAAAGAAACTAAAGCTTCTTTCATTGCGTTTTCTGCGATAATTGCATCATACTCCGCATTTGCGGTACTACGATCCAGGCACAGTAGGTAGGATTTACTGTCACGAGCACGGGCTCGACCTAGAATAAATGCGCATAAAACATAACGAATAGTAAAATAGAAATACTTACCTGACTTCTGTATTCTACTGACGGCAGAGGATGTACAGTTGTACTTTATAATTAAATTACAAGCCTTCACGTCCAAACCTTCATCCAGTACAGAAGTAGATACAATCACCTTTAACAAATTTTACCTCAGTACAAAGGGAAGAATAAGGCATACCTTCTTAATTCCTGTATTGAAATCATTCAGAACCATTTTCTGTTCAGTCATTTTTTGACCGTAAAAACCCGATTCTCCTTGAGCCCGAGCGCCTGAAACTCTTTCCCTGCTTGTCTAATAATACTTCACTAACTAATGACATAGCCAAAATCAGCGCGTCCTCCCAACAACCGGATGTTATTGAAATGTTCACACAAAATATAGGCTGTAGAGCGTTCCTGAACAAAAATAATACCACGCGAGGTACTGTCAGCTTTGAAACGTTCCAACAGAATGCTCTGAAAGGTGATTTTATTTAATTTAAACCAGTGTTACAACACCTTTAGCTTTTCTAGAATTTCACAGTCTTTACCGCTCCTAGCCTGTTCCTTTGCTTCGCCCTCAAGACCATCTTTTTCTTCTATTTACACAATAATTAGTTGAATTATGGAAGAACACATACGTAGATAAAACTCATGATAACGCTCTGTAAATGGAGACCGGAATTGGATGGCTATTTCTTCAATCTCTTTGTTCAGGTAAACCAAAGCTGGCTTGTAAGGCATGAGCTCAGCCATTCCAAGGCACATGCCGAGAGCCACCAGAAACTTGCAGGCTGTCATGATTTCTGACTTATTAGATACTCCAGAAATTTTCTTTAGCACCTCTTGCAAACGTCTAACACTTTCTATAAAAGACTTGATAGGGTAATCATTGGCAATTTTGGCTTCATTCTGTAAATAACTGTGAGAAAGAGAATATTCATTATCACTGACAGGTTGCAGCTTTGAAAAACCCAGCTCGTTTTTCTTTTTTAGGTCATCCAAATAAGGCTTTATTCGATTTTTAATTTTGTCAATTACATTACGAATCTTCTGTTGGAAGCCACTAGGAACAGTTGAAATTTTAAAATACTCTGAAATATACAAGTGCGTGAGTGTAGTGAAATTTGAAAAAAAACCTTCAGCTGGTCTTTGTACGAAATCATTCAAAGCTTTTTGGTGCATCAGGACAGTACTGAGAGCTGTGGCTGTCACATTAGCCATCAGCGAATAAATAGAATTTAATGCACTTTCTATGGTTTGACTACTGGATCGTACCAAGGAAGCAGTTAACCCAATAATCTTGAAACGAGTACTATACGGACAACAGTCATGGAGATACCTGGGGTTTCTCATAACTGTATTCGGCAATCATATCCATTAGCTCTTTGTAAGCATGGCCTTTATCACAGTGATGAACCTGATCTATTAATTAAAAGAGAGCATCAGAAAAATTAAACAAACCTCATCAAAAATTAAGAGTGAAATATCGCAAATATAGACACGCTCGTTTTTTCTAACACTTCTCAGCATATTTCTTCATAAGTTAATTAGATTATGACAGTAGTACAGTTCACACTCACATCAGAACTTGCGGAGTCATGATCATCACATCAGCTCGCAAAAATATGTTAGAATTCGATATACTTCGTGGCCTCTCCAAACCATGGAACCCATCAATATAATAATCCCCGCGGCAGTAGACATGAAATCTTTTTTTCTGCTGCTCCACAAGGGGAACTTTGGGAACAAGCATGACCACCTAGTTAGATTTAGAAATACGGTAAGACAATCTTTGACTTACTCTCCCAGATTTTTCATTAGACATCTTCTTATTCAAGTGATGTTTAGCAATGTAAACAGCAACTTCCGTTTTTCCTGAACCCGTAGGGGCACAAATGATCACATTCGGAGCGTTTGAGCTAATAGCAGCGCTCACCTGAAACTAGTTTTGAGCAAGGATAAATACACAGCCATACCAATTCTTCTTGGTAAGAACGAAGTACTAATTCCTTAGGTTCGTAGGTATCCTCATATTCTGAACGATATCTTAACGGGTTATAAATGTGAAAGTCACCTCTATCCTTGACATAGTCTTTAGGAGGTCTCATCTCAGTAGGCTCAGTTTCATCAATTTCTGGAATAAGGGACACAGGAGCAATTCTTTTTATCTTGAAGGCTCTCATTTCCAGCTCACGGGCAGCTGAAAACGGAATCAATAAGCCATGACGATCATTAAACTACCCAGAATTTCTTCGTGTTTGGGTAGAAGGTACATAAGCACAGCCGAGTTGTACGGATCTTTCGCACAGGCTTCCACCAAATCGAAAAACCTAAAAAAGATTTGAATTAGTCATATGATATGATGCGTGAAAGATACAGTCCAATTAAATTTTAATCGACTTACCAATCATCAGTTGAGAATGGTAGCATAGGAAGAGAACGCAGAAAAGCTCTAGACCAGCTTTGGGTGTTCAAAAAATGAGCTTTTTTCGAACCTCAACGATGGAATAAATGGTTGAATAACTCGAGTTTGACGTTAGCTTTCTACCGAAATCTTTCTCCATTTCTTCGAGGAATGGGAGCCAAACACTGGTCGTAGGTTCAAACTTCGTTTTCAAACTTTTGATAACATGCTGAGGCTGAAAGCTTGTGGCGATTCTGTGAATATGAACAAAAGTTTCATTCCAATAGATAAAAAACTGAATCTACCTGTCAAGGAAGAGTTCGTCCGACTCCCCTTCTTCATTTACTTGTCTAAAAAACTTTTCCAGAAAAAGAAGTGCAACTTTTGGTTCTTTTATTAATCTATGGTCCAAATGTAGCTTCTGCCATAACTCCCGATGGTCTGATAATAGTCTTATTCGTAAATAACTGAATGTCATACGTACTGTGTTTGATCATTTCGTCTATTTTTTTTATCCCTCTCACATCAAATAACAGTCGTCGGATGAAGGCGGTCAAGACCTGCTCCTTGAAACTATTGATGTAATTCCGAGAAGTAGCAAGAAAAACCAAACTCTTAAATCCGTAGCGATCTTCTTGTTATCTTTGTCAGCCGTTGACTGAGCATGATTTTGGTCACGCTTATCCCTAAGAAAAGAAAAAAAACATAATTTAATTACTAAAGTATACCGTCTCCGAGTTCTGAACGCTTTTTTGTCTCTCATATGCTCGTTGATCACAGCCACAGGGTCTCTCAAAACTTTGAAGACATATTCGAAATATTTTACATTTTCTTCCTCTGCAAAAACAAACAATTCGGAAAACTCAGATTGATTACCTAGGTGGTTCTTCAGTTCGTTGAAGTAATTGAACTCTAAATCGGACAATAGGAACAACTGAATTTCATCCCAATATAGCCGTAGAAATGAAGGAAAACTAGGATGCTCCGTTGGTAAGTAAAGTTGCATGCTTTCACCCATTTTGAGCACCTTCAAGAATCATTAGAACGTGGAATATCATTATCTCGGTACGGCAACGAAACACATTTGCAAGTTGAACACGGTTTGAAAAGATAAAAATGTTTACTCACAGATGCTTGTGAAAAAAATGTGCATTGATCAAGTACAGTAAAGGATACTTCTGTATTATACATCGAGGGAATTAGTAGACAAGATTTTTACAATTATTGTTGTGCACAGCGGCTAGAATTAACATCCTTGGCAGGACTCTTTATTGTTTGGTCGTTATGAATCCGTTTGTACATAGTAGAGCTCATCGTTGTGCTCATCGTGATATTGTTGTCAGTGCCTTTCTTTGTTGGAGATGATGGGGCTGAAGAAAAACCTTCGCCTTCCTGAAATAACAAATTTTCACAAGGCCCAAGTCAATAAATGAAAGAAACTCACTTCCATATCATCATCTTCGTCATCAGGCGTAGCAATGTTTGCCACTGGTTGGCTTGCCGATGTATTAGGAGTGAGTGGCTTAACACTGAAAACAAGAAGCACATAAAAAACTGGAGAAATTTCACAGACCCTTTCTTCAGAACATCCAAAAGACCACCAGATTGATCTGGTGGTGAATCTCCACACTTCTTTTTGAGAGCGAGGATTTCTTCATCTTGCTCAGCGATCGTCTGCTTTAACTCTGATTCAATGTCGTCAAACTCATCGCACATCTGAATGCGTTTGTGTAGCATGTAGGCAAATAATTATGGTTTACCTTGTATAACCTTTCGACCTCATTATCCTGACTAGAAGACTTCTCTTCTAACTCAGCCACTCTTCGCTGAATGTTATAATAAGCCCTCAAATGACAAATAAAAACCCACTTTGGTCTCTTGCAGTTCTACCGTCAATGTATTGATATCAACAGTCAAAGTAGCGGGTTGGTGAGCTCTTTGAAGAGAAGCTTTTTCACTTCTTAACTCGTTTACCTCCTCCATCAAACTTTCACTGAAAACAAAGCAGATAAATACGGATATTTTGAAACGTACGCTTTGCTTTTCTCATTTGTGAAATCAACCGTAAGTGAGGTCAGATTATTCTCTATTTTCTCTAGTTCTTTGGTGATTGATTCAATCTTAAAACAATAAACAGTATCAACTTGACAACATTATTCTACCTTTTCTTCCAACTGGATCTTCTCCGTAGATAATGAAGCGATGATTTTATTTTTTTCTTCGAGTTTTGAATTATCATTGACTGCAGATAGAAGACGTGAAGTCTCTTCTTGGAGCTCAAAAAAGGTCGATTACATTTATGAAATGAGATGAAAATCGTACCTGGCTGATGCTCTCTGATTGGAGCAGGTTTTCCGCTTTTAGCGAAACAACAGTTGCTTCAAGAGAAGATTTCTCTTGCAATAACTTATTGAACTCTAGCTCTCCTTTTTGAACGATAGCTTCAAACTGTGCAATTGTGTTTTGAGCAGTCGTGAGTTGGGCTCTGACACTATCGAGCTCAGTTCTCATTCCAGTTTCCTCGTTTTTGTTAGTTTCTAATTCTTTCAGCTTTTCTTCTTTCATACGAAGATCCTCTTTCAGCTCTTCAAAGTTCAGACGGAATTTTTCAAACTCCTGAGCAATACTGACAGACTTCTTCGTTTCATCCACCAAGTCTGTTTTGAGTTGTGTACTGGAGAAGAGAATATTTTAAAAAAAAGTTAGATAACTTTACATTTCGTTTCTAGCTCTCTCGTAGAACTCCTCAATCTCAGTAAATCGTTCATTACTTTCTTGTAGTTGTTTCTTTGCTTCCTGTTCAACAGAGCCGAGCCTATCAATTTCTTTTTGATTTTGGCTGATGATTTCCAATTTTTCTTCTAATTCTGTTTTTAGAGACTCGAATCCGGACTGAATGTCTTCGTTAGCCTTTCTTTCGAGTGTTGCTTTATCAGTCATTTCAGATCTGAGAAAAAAGATTAAACACTATTACATAGCTATATTAATCTCACATCATCACATTAGCTTTGTTGAGCTCACATTCCAACTCAGAGACTTTTCTTCTCGATTCCAACAGCTTCTCTTCGAGTTCAGCTTCTTGCTTGACCCTAAAAAACAAGTAGTTGAACGCAAAAAAAGACTGAACTCACGAATCTTCTTTTATCTTGATGACTTCGTCTTCAAGGGAGGTACTCTTAGCCATAGACTCAACCAGTTTCGTTTCCAGTTCAACTACTATTACAGTCAAATCAGTCAGTTCTTTTCTTGAAAATAAAATCATATTTAAAAAAATAGTCATAGCGCAACCTCAGTTTGGGAACTGTTTCAGCTAGCTCTTGCTCTTTGAGTTTCAAAACAGATGCTGATTTCTGATTCTTCTCTTTCAAGTCATCCAATTCTTCAGTGATTCGCACGTTGTTGTTTCTCAGCTCAGCTCTGAAAAATGGGGTTAATTTTGATTTGATCTTTCAACTCACATTTCCTGATTATCTCGAGCAAGATCACCTTCCAATAAATCTATTTGAGACTTCATGGTCATTTTCTCCTCCTCTAGAGATGAGGCAACCAACTTGATGTTTTCAACCTCTATCCTGTGAAGTGGAGAAGTTATAATGATCTATTCGCTTATTCACACTCACCTCAATGATTCTGCACTTTTCAGAGATTCCGTTTGCTCTTCCAACTTTCTGCTTTTAGTCTCTAATTCCATTTTCAGCTGCTCAACCTCGACAGATAAAGACTCTTTAGACTCAAGCTCAGACTTCAATCTAGAGATCTCTTCTGTAGAGGCGTTCTCTTTTAGAACACATTCACTGTTTAGTAGCTCGATTTTTTCGGAATAGTCAGCTTCCTTTGCTCTAAGTTCCGATCTTAGATCTTCGACAAGTCCTGTTGAAGAACTATCCTTAGCTAGCAACTCCACTACTTCATGACTCTTGGTTTCGACTTCTGCTCTCAAATCGTCGCATTGCTTTACAGTTTTTGACAATTCTTCCTGATGTTGAGTGCTGAAATTTAGGTACGTAAAGTTCGTAATATTTCAGAATCGAAAAGGAACCCATTCAAGAACGACCAGAAAATGAACATGCCTGATCAGCCGAGCTTCTGATAATTCTTGCTCCAAATTGACCAATTTCAGTTCCAATTCAGACTTCAATGCTAACAAATCATCAACAGATGTTTTTAACGATTCAATATTTGAGGTCAACTCTTCTATTTGTTTCTGACTGGTGTTATTACATTCCACGCTAAAATAAAAAAAAGGTTAATAAAAGGAAAAATATTCCAAGTACTAAGTTCTCTTCTCTTCTTCGAACTTTTCTTGAGTTGTGGTCAGTAACGCTTTGACAGATTCTAGTTCATTCTTCAGAACTTCTACATTACTCTGGGTTTCCGATACACGCTCGGCGTTTTCATTGCTGTAAATACGCTTCAGATATGTTAACTAACAAGCCCAACCCTGTTTTCTTTAACTCTAGTGATGTTTCCTGTAAGAGTAGAACTTGAGACTTTAGAAGCTGGCATTTCAGTTCGAAAGATTTTTCCTCTGAGCTGCAATAACGTAATTTATGGTATCAGAATACTCAGTGTAACACATACTGGTCTTCAGAATCCACATTTCCGCTCAAAATACAACTGAGTTCGTCGAAGACAGTTTCTGATTCAGAAACCTTGGAACGACAATCTTCAATTTCCTTCTGGAGTGAAGAAATTTGCTGTTTTTTCTGTTGTAAAGTGTCCGTTAAAAATCCTGTGTCAGAGTCCAAACGTTCTTTCATGAGAACTAACTCACTCTTGCTTTCTGCAAGAGAGTTCTCCAAATCGATCCTGAGAAGAAAGTTAGTTCGCTAGCATTTAGAGACTAACATCAACAGATTTTTCGCAGAATCAAGTTTTTGCAATTCTTCATTTTTCGTCCTCATCTCATCTAACATGCGTTCTAGATCAGCAGCTCTTTCCAATTCAATACTGCTGTCATTTCTTCTGTAACTTCAAAATTATTGACTTTGAAAATGATAATGAACAATGCAACCTGTTATCGAATCGTAGTGAGTCTAGTTCCTTGGTAGTATTAATCAGTTTAGATGTTACATTCTCCACTTGAAGATAGAAAAAGTTAATTATTGAAAAGTCAAAACATATCTCATGATTGTGTTCCTGTCTCAAGCACTGGATTACACTTTCCAATTCAGAAATCTTTTCAAGAAGAGGAACGTTAGTTTGTGTTAGTTCACAAGTTTGATTATTTACATCACCAGTTAATGCTTCCAGGTTAAGTTTATTCTTCAGATCGTGGTTCTCACTCGTGAGCGATTCAACCTAAAACAGAAAGCTTGAACACATATAATCATAACTACTCACTTGCTCGTTCAATTCTTTCATAGACGCTTTCATTTTTGACAATTGGCTCTTCAATTCTTGCTCAGTTTCCAAAGAAAAGTTGTTTTCTAACATTACAAACTCAACCCTGTAAATATGAATTAGGATAATAATGGTTACTTCAAGACTTACATCGAATCCGAGAACTGACCTTTGACAGGAGTTGTGTACGCTTGCAGAACTCGATTCTCATCGAACTGATCACGATCTTCTGACCCTACCTTAAATAATTATTGAATTGAGAAATCATTATACTTCCTGATTACCGATTCATTAACATCATTGTCAGGCTTTATGACCGAAATATCAGCAAACGATTTACGATTCTGATTCTGCACCTAAACATATGTATTGCGAAAGAACAGTTTTGAAACTACTTACAGTCTGAACAGTGTTAGACGTAGACACATTGAAGGTTTCCCAACATACTTGACGATCAGTGTTAGACGTTGATTCCGCGTAATCAGCTGTTACATTCGTTGCAAATGTTTCTTCGGCAGTTTGGTTTGATTCTGCAGGAACGTTGGTTGGCTCGTCCATTTCTTCAGATGATAAGTTTGCTGCCGAATCGGAAGATTCTATTTCAGATTGCAAACTTGAAGGTTTTTCTTCACCCATGTCAATATCAAGTTCCCTATCAGTGTTGTCAATTTCAACTTGTAAGCTAGTAGCACTTTCAGAAGATGCTAACTCTGCCTGATCTACTGAAGAGCTTTCAGATTCAACCTCGCACTGTAGCTCAACATCATTAATCTCGGCAGCTAAGGATTCTCCAAATTCTGGTACGCCTTCAGCAACAACAGAAAATGCAGCATCTGGTTGAGTAACCGAACAGTATTCCCTACTGGTACTCTCCATTTCTTCAGTCAACTGTGAAGCCTCATTGTCGCTGTTTGTTATAGGAATCGAAACATTTTCACATAATGGAATAGATTCCAAACAATCTGTTACAGTCTTTACCGCATCACTTGAGCAGTGTGAGCTCGAATATTCTTCTTCGACAGTTTCATCAGCTCCTTTAACATCATTGCAGTCATTACTCTCTGCAACTGTTTATTTAATCTTTTTAGTAACATTAGAGTAAATCTGTGAGAATTACCTTCGGCAAGAGCATTGTGCCCAACGTCACAATCTTCAGCATGGCAAGAACCGCCAGCTTCTTCAAGAATATGCTCAGTAGTCTCCTTCGCACAGTTGTTTTCAGCCTCCTCTGATTCTAAATAAAAGTGAATATAATAGATTGAAAATGATACAAAAACCATCATCATTTGTCAGCTTAGCTTCGATACAATCAACTGATACACTCACGACGGGTTCAGAAATAGCAACAGCGTCCAGCTCGGCAGCTAAGCTGTTACCCTGAAGCTCGCCAGAAATTTCTAGTGAAGTGTATACATCCTTTTCCAATTCACAAGAATTGGTAATTATTAATTGATCAGTTTTCAGATCTGAGGGTGTTGAAGGTTGAACATCGTGAGGATCTTCAGTGTTTTCAACCATATCTCCTCCTTCGGCTGTCACAGACTTAGTCTCATGGGCCAAAGATTTTCTTTTGAAACCATCTGATTCAGAAGAATCAGTTTCTTCAGGTATAGCATCGAATTCAGAAGGTTCTGTGTATGAAGATTGAGATTCATCTTCCCGATTCAAAGAAAAAAGAAAAGGTTTCTACAAAAGTGACAATTGGAAAGAGATCAACACAAGTATGTACCTCATTAGAATCATTGGCAGGCTCAGTTTGAGAAACATTTCCGTAGTCACTAGATTCATTGAAAGTTGCTATAATCATGGTATTTCGATGAACAAACGCGAAAGTTAACCATTTCTTTGAAACATCATAATAGTATCTTGCTCAACGAAAGTTTGCTCTAGATTAACATCTGCGACAAATACAGGCTGACGTGACTAAAAAAAAAGTTAGATTTTTGAAGGCTGTAACCTACCTGTTTTAATGGTTTCCTGTGTGATGGTGTAGCCCATGAATATGGACTCTCAATGGGAACTCTTTTACCCTTCAAATAATTTTATTTTGAGTGAAAAAATTTATTAAAAATTTCAAACCTGTCGAGCTTGTTGAGGGGTTTTAGATTCCGTTAGTTGACTTGGAATATTTTCATCGTTTTCAACTTGTTTTTCAGGTGAAGACATAGCAAGCAGTCAAAAAATCAAATATCGTAGAAAAATAAACTGAAAAAAATGAAATATCAATCTCATCTGATCATACTTGAGTTCTATTATGCATGTATCGTTATAATTGAATATAATGGAGAGAATTTAACTGGTTTTACGCAGCTGACTTCAAGGAGCAGCAATAGAATGTTAATTGCCGCAACATATGAAATTTGATTTTTCGCGCCAGATAAATTAGCAATAGAGCGTGGTTCATACGCTTAACAATCACTGAGACGTTTGTGATATACTATTTTGTTCCATTTCGTTTTTAATTCTCTTATGAAATAACGTTAATTATGTCTATATTAGCTATGACTGGTTGTCTTTGAGTCTTTGTGTTCATTGTTGGTTATGGCTTTTTTGTTTCTATGTTGAAATTGATACGATTCTCAAATACTAGTCAGATTGCTTTCGATCAACTCATTCGTTGATGTACACCCAAAAGCCTAATAGGTTTGAGTTGAGAAAAGAATAGACAGCGTGCTATTCACGTGTAATTAACATTCTATAAGCTTACCAGCATGTGAAAAAGATGCAAAACTGCTTCCAAAATTTGTCATACAGTGGAACTACAATGAATCCTCTAATTTATTGTGTTTCACTGTCAACTTGATTAGATAAACGGAAGTCTTGTCTGTTATTAGTGTTGCCTACGTTCTATTCTGAAGAGTTCCGAAGAGTTTGAGCAGTATATTGTCAATTGTCCATGTGATTTGTTTGACAGTAGAGAATATCGAGAGTTATTCGACACTGTCCTAGTGTTTGTCCAAATTCGTTAATATTTTGTTTCTTCTGTCTGAGTGACCTTTTGAATTGGGAGAGATCGAAAGATCAAAGCGGACTCGAGTGTGTACGTCTGGCTTTTCTTTCCATTTCTCTCATAGCATCCGTCTTGCTTCATTCTTCAGAGTTAAAATAAACCGTGAAACATATTGGATGTCGAACTGATCTTTGATTCAGGCAGATCGCTTTCTGAAATGCTTTTCAAATATGATATTGTTAGTGAACAAAAGAATAAATCTAGCAGATACCAATGGAAAATTGTTAATAGTTTTTTCATTAATCTGGGAGTAGACGAACATGAAGAGTTTGTGATCGAAACTTCAAATCAACAGAGTGTGTGATTGAAGTACTTTGAGCTTTCGGACTGATTCATCTCTCTCACTGCTTTTCATAAAGGTCATATTTGTTTTTTCACATTGTAAAACTAGGACTAGTAAATCTCATGTATCGAATCCACTCTTTCATTCCTTAAGCGACTATGCAAATGTATAAAACCCGGCCTGCGTAACTTATGAGATCTCGTCAATGGCCTATTTTCCTTATTTGGTTTATCAGGAAATCAGGAAGTGATTTTTCGATAATTATGAATTCATTTGGTCAAAAACATTAAGCAAGTTGATTGACCTCTTCATATAATCCTCCTTCACGAAAAATTAGCCCATTTAAGTCACACGTTGTTTCGATGAACTATGATCGTTCTCTGGGTTATTGTCCTCTCCTTAAGCAAATATGTCTAGCAAGGTGGATTGGCGTTTTATTGGATTTCATTTAGAATATCTTTCTTCTCTATCCTTCTTCCGTTGTCTCTACAGCTCTCTATCGCATTCGACATCCCCCTCCACCCGTCTTCGTATGTATATGTATATGTTATGTATATATATATATAAATATATATATATCATCTGCGTAATAAGAAAAGATATCTCCAATTACTTTTGACGCAGAACTAGCCTTTGTGATTAAAACAATTACGAAATAATTACCAGACAGTGAGTAATCGTGAATAATAATCGTAGACATTCGGTTCATTCCCACCCTTTTTGTGATTGTACGTATTCATATGGTAGGAACACAAGAAGCACGCTAATTCTTACAGAAGCTTCATGACAGCTTCAGAAATACAAGGAGAAGGAGGAAAGGAAATGAGAGAAATGGAGAGATAGAAATGCTTGCTGCAAAATGGCAAGAGGCCCAGGTTGATCGCAATGATCTCACATGTTGTCTGATTCTCTCCATTGCTCATTTTGTCTTCTTGTCTTCTCTAGACCAATAGATGAATGATTTTGTCGATGGCGATAGTTGTGGTGAAAGTGGTGACGATGCAAAGGAAAGCCAGTGTGTTGCTTGGTTGGTTAACTGGCTGAGGTTCAAAGAACATTCTCTTCCCTCAATTGAACCTCCTTCATTTAATGCTGCCTTTTTGTGCTTCTCTTTTTTCGCTCTTTCTCATTCTTAGTGCCTCTTGTGACCCTTCCGTCTTGCCGGGTTACCCTGTGCCTATGATGCCCTTTGAGCTTACAAGCTTTTCCTTTATTCTCTATTCTCTCTCACTATCTCAAACGATTCTGTTCTTTTCTCTTATAGTTCTTCAGCTTTTAATCTCTTCACCAGGCTATTATTAGTTCTTTCAGACATTAAAGCACTTTAATATTCGCGACAGTCACTATGTTTTATGCTTACTTTCTTCGTTCTAAACTTAGTTTTGGAACTTATAACTTTAAGTCCATTAAAGGAATAAAGAACGAACAACAAAATGAAGTGTCATAAATTGTATTCATTGTATACTTCTCGTAATCTGAACGATATTTTCTCATTTTGAATTAATCCGTTGAGAGCACCTTGTGTTAAAACGGAGGCATTGGATATTCCTTCGAGAGGAGCTATATGATGAAATCGAGGAAACTAGAATCTCTGGTTTCATTAGTCCATTCGCCTCTCTGACCTTTTCTGATTTCATGTTATATAATGTTTTTTCTCATGCTTTCAGTTCTTTTATTCATCTCTTCAATGTTTCGTTCTGAATGAGCAGCATTACTAATGTGGATATAAATAGTTGCTGCTCTTTTGTGTCTCCTTCCTCTCTCTCTGAAACAAATATGAAATTAATATATTCGCATGTTCAACATATTTTCATTTAAGCTTCTTCTTATCTTTTTTTTTGTAATCTTGATAACTGTGGTTTTTGTCCTTTTCCGTTTCGCATACCGCTCCCGTATTCCTGAACTTTCCAATTAAACTATGAACACAACTATATATAGAGCTGAGCAAACTCATTTGTAAACTAACGTTTTTCGCATGTGAAGCCTTGTTATCTTTTATGCTAATTCGTCGCATGACAGTTTCACGTGGATGTTTGACGTAAAATTATATTTTGATTTCATTTTCGCTCGACGTGATGTAGTTGCTTTCATTCCCGTTTTGTTTCCCCAATACCTCGCACCTGATTATATTTAAAGTGCTCTCTCTCGTTCTCTGCATAGATGAAATCAGCAAAAGCTTTGCTGAGATTGCATAGTGCAAGTACTCTCGCAAATTCTTTTAATTTCTCAGCGTATTTGAAACGTTTCGCTCTAATTTTCCCATAGTGTGTTAAGGTATTCACTTTAAGATCAAAAATAGAGTTTACGAAAACGATGATGATGACAATGAGTTGAAGACAAATGTCGGTGATGACGATAATGGTAATCGGTAACGAGGACAATCACTCAATGAACGAGCAAAAGATTTTATTGACCAATGTCCGTCTTTCTGTCTGGGTCGTAGTTTTCATGAGAAGCTTATAACAACTTCCGAATTATTTTTACCATTTTCTAATTCCCTTCCTCGTAGTGCATTGGTTTATGAAGTTTCTCAAGATAAGTAATGAAATTATAAATTAAAACACGAACTCTCAAGCAGTTTTGGTTATTTCATGCTTGCGACTGTTGAGAAGCTCAGAAAAAAAGTTGTCGTAACTGTCTTCCCACAAACATCTTTTCTCCTTGCTTTGTATCTCTGAAAGGTTTTGTTTTCATGTCTCTAGTCTGTACTGATCGAGAATTGACTGATTTTGTAGAGAAGACATTTCCTCCACATCTTCCTTCCTCTTTCTCCAACTCTTTTGTTTATTCTTATTCTCTTTCTCTCTTCATTCACCATTCTCCTTATATTCTTTACTTGTTGGTAAACATGTCGCTCGTCAGCAACTTTGGTAGATTTGCACTTAGTGACAATTTCTGATTGTTCAGTGTTAACCAAAGTCTAAGACTTCGTTGATTTGCTTTCTTATGAAACTCTAACAGACGAACAGATAGCTGAACATAGTTGATTTCGTTTCTCTAGGATCATTTCTATTGTCTCGTTTATTCTGGCTTGTAAGAGATTTTTTTTCACGAAAAGAGCAACGTAACAAAAGTTGGCTCTTCTTTTGATTCGGAGATCTTTGAGTTCAAGAAGAAGTTGAACAGTGATGAATGATCTGACGAAAAAACCTCAAAGAAAAAGAAGTTTTGGAGAGCTCCGTTGCAAAATGTTTCTTGTTGAATGTGCACTCTTGTGCTTTTTTATCACTTCGAGACACAGATTTGACAATTCGGATGATCAGCAGTTTCTCCTATTCATGATTTCATTCTATGTTGAGAGATGGTTTCAGCTCTCTTCAACTTGGCAGAGAGAATGAAGAGTGAAGATAGTTTGTCTGAACGATTTCCCAGACATCTGGGTATTGGTCATTGAACAACAGATTCATCTTCAATAACCATCTCAATATTCAGAATCTATCGCACAACGTCAACACAGCTGAATCGGCTAAAAAGCATAGTAGTATGATTGTGAAGTCTCGTCACATAATAAAGGAGGAAGTTCAAAATTATAAAATAGACTATAGTTGTCATTTTAATCATCATTCTTTAATTGGATTTGTAGTTTCAATGACGTAATCTGAATGTAGCGGATTTAGAGAATGTATGTAAGTGTGTGTGTGTGGGGATGGGAGGCTGGATAGTTCTTTCATAATGATAAATGATTTCTTCTGAATTGGGAGAACAGCGATCAGCATTATTTCTCTTCATATTTCTCTCGTTCAATCTTATGATCTTTATGTATTTTATGTTGTACATAACAATCGAATGAACTCTTTACTTTAAGGAGAGATCATAGACATCTTACTTTCTTCAATTCTCTCTCTATCCCTCTCTTTCTTCTTCTTTTACATT